CCGGTGTCGAGTGCAGTACCACACCATGCTGTGGCACAAGTGTATGGTCCAGCTGGATGTGCACTGTTAGTACAGAAGACGACGGTTGTGGGCAACATGGAAAGCTCGTGCGTGAACGCACTTTCATTGAGACACTAAACTGCATTACAGAAGGCGCTGACACGGATCTGCGCAACACAGAGAACACACCGTGTTACACCGACAAGTGCGAGTGTGAGATGTCTGAGTGGAGTGACTACGAGTGCTCTGAAACGGTCTGTAGCTCCGAAGGTGTGCTGGTGTCGACTCGCGGATACTTCACCACACCCGACTGTCAGGTCATGAGCAGCGCAGTACGCAGAGAGGACGGAGTGTGTAAGACCGAGCCGTGCGTCTGCAAGGCGGGGTCCTGGTCACCCTGGGTGTGCTCAGCCGATAAAAACTACTGTGGCTCTACCGGGACCAATATGAGAGAGCGTAAGTACGATACCAGTGAGTGTGTACTCCCAGGGTCCATCAGCACTGACGAAGCTGGGGTCGAGACACAGAAGGGAACTCCGTGCTCAGGCAAACCATGTTGTGGTACCAGTGCATGGTCTGAGTGGCAATGTTCAGTCACACTTGCAGTCGACAAGTGTAATGCGAGTGGCAAATACGTACGCGATCGAACCTTCGTGAAGACGGAGGAGTGTAGCACGGCGCACGCCCAGACCGACCTGCACAACACCGACAACGTCATCTGCCACACGGAAAAGTGTGAGTGTGAGCTTACGGAATGGTCCGAGTATGCTTGTTCGGAGTCCGCCTGTAGCTCCGAGGGAGTCCGATTCTCTACTCGTGGCTACATTACAACACCTCCATGTGAACCGAAGGACGCTGAACTACGTCGTGAGGATGGAAAGTGCAAGACACAGGCTTGTGTGTGCACGCCAAGTGCATGGTCGCCGTGGGTTTGTGATAGCAACGCCGATGTTTGTGGCTCTGAAGGTTCGACCTGGAGACACCGCAAGTATAAGGACGACGACTGCGTGCTACCAGAGGATACTGAGATTGACAGTGCAGGTGTTGAAACGCAAGAGGGTGTCAAGTGCCAGTCTAAGTCCTGTTGCGAGCTCTCAGCCTGGAGTGAATGGGAGTGTACCGTCACGGAAGATGAAGGCTGTGGCCTGACCGGAAAGCTGGTGCGTGACCGAGTCTTCTTGGAGACCGACGAGTGCACTACCTCGGGCGACCCAGCGGACCTACACGATACAGACAACGCGGCATGCCACACCAGCCTGTGCGAGTGTGAACTATCGGAGTGGGTGGCGCAGCCGTGCAGCTGTGCGGAGTGCTCCTGTGTGGGAGAGATTCACTCTACACGTTACTACAAGACACATGCCGGATGTCAAGCGATGGACGCTGAACTCACGCGCTTGGATGGCCCATGTGAAAGCGAGCCTTGCTATGTGCACCCGTCTGAATGGACTGTTTGGGCCTGCGATGCACCTGTTGTTTGTGGGGCGCCTGGACATCTGTACCGAGAGCGGTCGTATGACATGGAGCAGGGTGTGTTGCGCGAAGGCGTGATCCCAGATGAGAATGACATTGAGAAAGACATGGGAGGCAAGTGTCACTACACGCCGTGCTGTGAGACCACAGAGTGGAGTGGGTGGATGTGCACTGTCAACAACGACGACCACGAGTGTGGAGTCGCGGGCAAGCTGGAGCAGCACCGCACTTACAACCAAGTCGACAACTGCACCAATGTAGGAGACGAGACCAACCTGGTGAAGAACGACAACGAGGCATGCTACACTGACAAGTGCGAGTGTGAGCTGAGCGAATGGTCTGATTTCCGGTGCTCGGAGACCGCGTGCTCGTCATCTGGCATGATGGTGTCTCAGCGCTACTATGAAACCGGGCCCGACTGTGAGGCAAAGAACGCTGAGCTTCGTCGAGAGGCAGAGGCGTGTGAAACAGAGCTATGTGCTTGCGAGGTATCTAACTGGACACCATGGATGTGTAATGCAGATATGGACCAGTGCAATGCCCAGGGAGTTACGCAGCGGTCTCGTACCTACCCCATGAGCGATGATTGCGAGGTGCCGGAGACGGTTGTTGTTGACGAGACTGGGCTCGAGACACAGATGGATGCTGTCTGCCAGTCTACCCCTTGCTGTGGGGTGTCTGCATGGAGTGAGTGGACGTGCACTGTGGACAACGACGACGGCTGTGGTCTCGAGGGACACTACGTGCGTGATCGCAAGTATATCCGCACCGACGGTTGCTCTATCCAGGGTGACGACACCGACCTCACAAACACAGACAATGTCATGTGCCGCACAGACAAGTGTGAGTGCTTGCTGAGTGAGTGGTCAGACTTTGCTTGCAGCGCAACGGCGTGCGGTTCCACGGGAGTCCTACACGCTTCACGGTGGTACATCACCAACGACGACTGTCAGACGATGAATGCTGACCTGTATACCGAAGGCGATGCATGTGACACACCGGCCTGCGAGTGCGAGCCCAATGCTTGGACTGAATGGTCATGTGATGTGGACATGGCGACATGTGGTAGCGTGGGTGTCCTCTCGCAGTACCGTACCTTCAACCTGACCTACTGTGTTCTGCCCGAAGACGTACACACCACCGAAGATGGCCGCGAGGTGGCACAGAACGGTGTGTGCAATGGGCCTGTGTGTTGCGATACGACACAGTGGACTGAGTGGAGCTGCTCTAAGCACACAGAGAAGAATGGCTGCAATCAGATAGGCCATCTTGTACGCGCGCGTTCCTTCGTTGAGGATGGCGAGTGTCTGACCGCCGGGGCTGACCTAGATCTGCGCAACACTGCGAGTACGGAGTGTGCTACGGACAAGTGTGCGTGTGAGATGACCCCCTGGAGTGAGTACACCTGCAACGAGTCAGCATGTAGCTCTGAGGGTGAGATGGTCTCCAACCGAGGCTACATACTATCAGACAACTGCCAGCCCATGTCTTCTGAGACTCGCAGGGTCGATGGAGTCTGCGAGACCGCACCCTGTGTCTGCGAGCCCAGTGCTTGGAGTGAGTGGGTGTGTGATCTAGGTGGGAAGACACACTGCAGTGCGGCGGGTTACAACCGCAGACAACGCACATACGACGTGAACAGCGACGACTGTGTGCCCCCCGCGAATGTAGAAATCACTGACGAAGCCGTAGAGCACAGCCAGGGCGACAGGTGCGTCAACACTCCGTGCTGTGATGTGCTTGCGTGGTCTGAATGGGAGTGCAATGTTGATGAGGCCGATGGATGCGGCGTCACTGGGCGCATGGCACGAAGCAGAACGTTTGTGGAGAACGACCTGTGCATGACTGAGGCCGATGAAACTAACTTGCACGATGTTAGCAACCACGTGTGCTCCACTGATCTCTGCGAGTGTCCCTTGTCGACCTGGAGTGAGTGGCAGTGTGGCGTGACCACGTGCGGCTCTACCGGTACTATGGTGAGTGTGCGAGGGTACATCACTAGCAACGGCAAGTGTCAGACTAAGGACGCCGAGCTGACGCGCACGGGAGAGGCCTGCAGCACCGAAGCCTGCCCGTGCAAGGCGGAGAACTGGTCATCGTGGACGTGCTCCGCTGACCTCAGCAAGTGTGGACAAAGCGGCAAGGTGCTACGAGAACGCGTGTTCAAGGACATCTCTGGCTGCATTCTGAACAAGGAGGCGAAGGTTAGTGCCGATGCGACATCGGCGGTGGAGATTGAGGCCAATGGTACGTGCTCCAGTACTAGTTGCTGCGAACTCACCAGTTGGTCGGCGTGGACTTGTTCTACAGATGCCACGTGTGGCGTCGTGGGTAGACTAGGCCGCACTCGCGAGCACATCGACGACGGAAATTGCAGCTTAGATGGTATGTTGAGTGGATAGCAACTTTGGTCTATTCAGTCTTACCAGTTGATCATTGTATTACATCGGTTGTCAGCACGGGTTTAGTTTTACTCTATATTTACAAAGTATCTGCGTCTGGTACTCAATACTCCCATTCTCTTATCTTCCACAGGTGATGAAGCTGTTCTTGTCGACAACAGCAGCACTACTTGCATGGAGGCATGTCCCGAATGCGAAGTGACCGAATGGAGCGACTGGACGTGTTCTGTCACTGAGTGTGGCTCAGATGGAGTGAACCAGCAGACTCGTGCCTACATCCCAGCCGAGCAATGCCAGAGTGTGGGGGCCACAAAGCTCGCCAAGACTGGCACAAAGTGTGCGACGGACGCCTGTGCGTGCGAACCCGGACTGTGGGCTGAGTGGCAATGCAATGCCAATACGGAAGTTTGTGGCCAACCCGGTAACATGGTACGCGAGAGAGTGTTCACCGACACCTCCGACTGCCAACTACCGGAGGCTGTGGTGAAGCATAAGGACGGTACGGCGACAGAAGCTCAGCTGGCGGATGCCTGCAATGGACCTGTGTGCTGTAAGCTGAGCGAATGGTCTTCTTGGGAGTGTTCGGTGTCCGGTGAGTGTGGGCAGGTGGGCCAAGAGTTCCACGAGCGCTCAAGGATCAACACACTCACGTGCCTCCCCGATGCGGCCGATGTCCTTCGGGACACAGACAACAAGGCCTGCAGCACTGACAAGTGCGAGTGCCCACTCAGCCCATGGAGTGAGTGGCAGTGCGATGTACTGGCGTGTGGCAGCACGGGCAAACTCCGCAGTATGCGAGGCTACGTCGTGTCTGCTGAGTGCCAGGCGAAGGACGCTCTTCTGACGCGAGTTGGAGATGCGTGCTCGACTGAGCCCTGCAGCTGTATTGCCCAGCCCTGGACCACGTGGTCGTGTACAGCAGACACCTCCGTGTGTGGCAGTACGGGAGTGACTGTGCGAACAAGAGACTTCACATTCACTGACGGTTGTGTGGTGCCTGATGATGCGGTAACAGATGAAGCTGGCACGCATGCACGACAGACTGAGACGGCCGAGGTGTGCAGCGGACCCAAGTGCTGTGATCTCAGCGAATGGAGCGCGTACGCGTGCACTGTGGCTGGCCAAGAGTGTGGGTTAGAGGGTACCTTATACCGAGAGCGTACGCATGTGGTGAAGAACGAGTGTCTGCCAAACCCAATCGATGCGCTTCGCACAACAGACAACGAGAAGTGCTACACTGACAAGTGTGAGTGTCCTCTCACGCCCTGGTCAGAGGCTACTTGCAGCGCGACCAAGTGCTCAACGGTTGGCGTGCTGGTATCCACCCGTGGGTACGAGACAAGCGATGACTGTGAGCCCAAGGGAGCGTCTATGCGTAGAGAGACTGGGCCGTGCCAGACGGCCCTGTGTCCGTGCCAGCCTTCCGCCTGGTCAGAGTGGACGTGTAGCGCCGATGCGAACACTTGCAACTCAGTGGGCATGCAGTGGCGCCAGCGGGTGTACGACCTGGACCACTGCAATATCCCAGCCACGGCTGTGGTGAGCGCTGAGGGTGTGGAGATTGACCAGGGTGGGGCCTGCAGTGCGAAGAAGTGCTGTGCCACGACCGAATGGGCCGAGTGGACCTGCACGGTCAGTACAGCCACAGACGGCTGTGGAAAGACCGGAAAGGAGGTGCGTGAGCGAGCCTTCATCTCCGCCAGCGACTGCACCACCGCCGGGGCGGAGATAGAACTGCGCACCACCAACAACGTCGTATGCTCGTCTGACTTGTGCGAGTGTAAGCTCACCGAGTGGACGGAGTCGCAGTGTTCTGAGACAGCCTGCTCGTCCACAGGTGTGCTGGTGGCTACGCGTGCGTACATGACCGGACCCTACTGCCAAGCGATGGGCGCTGAATTGCGCAAGGAAGAGGGCACCTGTGAGACAGAGGCCTGTGTGTGCGAGCCAGCGCAATGGTCGGAGTGGCTGTGTGATAGTGACGAGCATATGTGTGGCGCTGTGGGCTTCAATTGGCGAGAGCGTGCCTACACACTAGACGAGTGTGTGTTGGCAAAGAACGTGGTTACTGACAATGGGGTAGAGAAGCAGCGTGGTGACGCGTGCTCGTCTAAGAAGTGCTGTGCCACCATCAGTTGGGGTGAATGGACATGCAGCAAGAGCAACGAGGATGGCTGTGGCCTGACTGGAAAAGAGGTGCGTGAACGGTCCTTCATTGAGAATGACGGGTGCACCACAGAGGGAGCAGACGCACAGCTGCGCAACACAAACAATATGCCATGCTACACTGACAAGTGCGAGTGCGAGCTGAGCCCATGGACACCCTACAAATGCTCAGAGACTGCTTGCAGCAGCCAGGGTGTCATGCTGTCGACTCGATCATACATCACCACACCTGAATGCGAGCCTAAGCAGACCGCACTTAGACGCGAAGATGGTACGTGTGAGACGGAGATGTGCGCATGCACCCCCGGAGAGTGGAGCGCTTGGACATGCAGCGCTGATGAGAAAGTCTGCAACTCAATCGGTAAGAACTTGCGCCATCGCACGTACGTGGATGAGGAGTGTACACTTCCCGCAGATCTTTTTCTCGATGAAGCACGCAGGGAGCAACAGGTAGGTACGGCATGTGCTGCTACACCGTGCTGTATAGTTTCTCCTTGGAGTGAGTATGAGTGCTCCGTGAGTGAGGAGGAGGGTTGTGGCCTGGAGGGTGTGCTTGTGCGTGATCGCTCATTTGTACACACAGATAAGTGCTCGACTAAGGGAGCGGCTCTGCCACTTCGCGATGTGATCAACACCAAATGCTACACCAGTCTATGCGAGTGCACTCTGTCTGAGTGGAGTGCATACTCATGTAGTGCGACCGCTTGCTCTACTGATGGAGATATGGTGTCAACCCGACACTACAACACCAATGACGACTGCCAGGAGATGGACGCTGAGCTCACACGCACGGATGGTCCATGTCGTACTAGCGCGTGTATCTGCAAGACTAGTGAATGGTCAGAGTCCGTCTGTGATGCCAATGAAAGTGTGTGTGGTTCCGCTGGACACATCTCAAAGACCAAAACGTACGTGTTAACCGACGACTGTGTCCTGCCTGAAGGTGTAGTAGTGGGTGCCAATGGTTTGGAGACCAAGCAGGGACAGGCCTGTGGCTCCACACCTTGCTGCGTGACCTCTCCTTGGGCAAACTGGGAATGCACTGTTACCATAGCAACCGATGGCTGCGGCCGAACCGGTGTGCTGGTGAGAGATCGTGTGCTTCTGCAGAACGCCCAGTGCTCAGTAGCGGGTGTCGATGTGGCCCTACGCAACACTGACAATGTCGTCTGCCACACCGACAAGTGCGAGTGCCCACTCACACAGTGGACTGCGTGGACATGCTCTGAGACGGCGTGCTCGTCGGAGGGTGCGCTGGTCAGCACCCGCGGGTACATTGTCAATGACAACTGTCAGGCGATGGATGCTGAAACGCACAGAACCGGAGGCGCCTGCTCAACGAATGCGTGTCTATGCAAGCCGTCTGAATGGAGTGCCTGGGCTTGCACGGCTGATGAGAAGGTGTGCTCGTCGGCTGGAACCATGATGAGAGAGCGCAAGTTCGCGATGAACGACTGTGTGGTGCCTGAGGATATCACAACCGATACTCACGGCGTCGAGACGCAGACACACACCAGCCCATGCCACACCACGCCATGCTGCGAGATCACCGCGTGGAGTGAGTGGGTGTGCACGGTGGCTGACGCGGCACAGTGTGGCCTCACCGGCAAGTACGTGCGCGATAGAGCCTTCATTGAGACTGACTCCTGCTCGACAGCCGGCGCTGACACAGGACTGCGAACGACCGAGAATGTCGCGTGCAGCAATGCGAAGTGTGAGTGTCCGCTTACCGAATGGACTGACTACAAGTGTTCCGAGACGGCGTGTAGCAGCAAGGGAGACATGTACTCCACACGGGCGTACATTGCGGACGAGAACTGTCAGACGATGAGTGCCGAAACCTACCGAGTGGACGGTGCGTGCGAGACAGAAGCGTGCCTGTGCAAGCCTTCTGCGTGGTCTGGATGGCTGTGCGATGCGAACGAGGAGATCTGTGGCAGCCCAGGACACAACTGGCGCCACCGTGCATACGATGTCAATGAGTGTGTGGTACCCGATACTATCGTCATGGATGATGCCGGAGTAGAGACTCAGATGGGTGGTCTATGTGCGGCAACAGAGTGTTGCCAGACCTCCCCATGGTCTGACTACGTGTGCACTGTTGACCTACAGACCGATGGATGTGGAGCCACGGGCAAGCTGGTGAGGAACCGAGAGTACCTCAAGAACGACAAGTGTACCACTGCAGGAGCCGATAGCGATCTGTTCAACACAGAGAATGTCGCGTGTCACACAGACAAGTGCGAGTGCAATCTAACGCCATGGACCACGTGGTCATGCTCAGAAACTGCCTGCAGTACTGAGGGGGTGATGTTTGCCACACGGGGATACGAGGTTAAGCCTAGCTGCCAGACTATGAACGCAGAGACGTACAAGACCGCTGGGGTATGCCAAACAAGTGCGTGCGTATGCCATTCTTCTGCTTGGTCTGAGTGGCTATGCGATCTGGATAGTGACGGTTGTGGATTGGTTGGTAAGAACTGGCGCCAGCGTAAGTTTGACACTGACCGCTGCGCGCTTCCCGCCAACATCGTCATCGACGCCGACGGCTTTGAGATTCAAACGAGCGGTGTGCCATGCTACGGCAAGAAGTGCTGCGCCACGAGCACCTGGAGTGAGTGGTACTGCACCGTAGAGACCGAGGAGATGTGTGGACTCATAGGCAAGTATGTGCGCGACAGGGCCTTTGTCGAGACGGACGGTTGCTCTATTGTCGGTGCAGAAGACGGCCTACGCAACACTGAGAATGTGCCGTGCAACAACGACCTGTGCGAGTGTCCGTTAACGGCGTGGACTGATTTCGAATGTTCTGAGTCAGTGTGCTCTTCCGAGGGCGTATTGGTTGCCACACGTGGCTACGTAACGGGACCCAATTGTCAAACCAAGGATGCCGAGACGTCTAAGACCGGGGGTGTGTGCAAAACGGAAGCATGTGTGTGCACACCATCCCAATGGAGTAGCTGGGTATGTGATGCTGATACGGAGAGGTGCGGTTCGTCTGGCTATAACTGGCGTCAACGAGCCTATGATCTGGACGACTGTGTGCTGCCAGCCACTATCGCCACAGACGCATCAGGTGTAGAGACACAGCGAGGTGAGGTGTGCCATGGGGCTGAGTGCTGCGTCACCTCTCCATGGTCTGAGTTTGTGTGTACTGTAAATATCCAAACCGACGGCTGCGGTGTCGCGGGTAAACTGCAGCGCACCCGAACTTTCATCGAGGACGGGCGTTGCTCTACCGCTGGCGCGGATATTGAGCTGATGAACACAGACAACATGGACTGTTCCACAGATCTGTGTCAGTGTCCATTGACTGAGTGGACTAAACTGAAGTGCAGTGAGACGGCGTGTGGTTCCACGGGTGTGATGTACGCCACACGTGGCTACATAGCTGGGCCGACATGCCAGGTTATGGATGCGGAGACGTACAGAATCGAAGGAAGCTGCGAGACTGAGGCGTGTGTGTGTTCGCCAAGCGGTTGGAGTGCCTGGGTGTGCGATAGCAACATGGATGTGTGCGGCTCTGTGGGCCACACATGGAGAGAACGCACCTTTGCCATTGAGGACTGTGTGCTGCCCGCGAACATCATTGTGGACGAGGCTGGCGTGGAGAGGCAGCAGGGTGACAAGTGTGGCGCTAAGCCCTGCTGCGAGACCACTAGCTGGTCCGAGTACATGTGCACTGTCAGGGATGCAGATGGCTGTGGTTTGACCGGCAAGCTGGTACGAACCCGTACGTTTGTGCACAATGATGAGTGCACCATTGCTGGGGCGCATGTCGACCTTCGCCACACTGACAACGAACCGTGTAGCACGGATAAGTGTGAATGCGAACTCACTCCGTGGACCGACTTTAAGTGCACGGAGACGTCGTGCAGCTCAGAGGGTGTGCTGTTCTCCACTCGAGGGTACATGGCCACTGACAAATGCCAAACCAAGGACGCTGCGACATACAGAGAGGATGGCGTCTGCACAACAGAGGCGTGTGAGTGCAAAAATTCCATGTGGACAGAGTGGCATTGCGATGCGGATGACGCCTTCTGTTCTTCCGTAGGCGCCACATATCGCCAGCGCAAGTTCGAGACCGAGGACTGTATACTGCCCACAGATATAGTACTTGACGAGGACGGCTTCGAAGTACAGACAGGCTCTGCATGCACCGCCAAGAAGTGCTGTGACGTGATCCAATGGTCAGACTGGACTTGCAGTGTGGGCGAGCTGGATGGGTGCAGTGTCTCTGGTGAGTACGTGCGAGACCGTGCCTATATCGTAAACGATGCGTGCACAACGGCCGGAGACGACACCGACTTGCACAATACGGAGAACGTAGCCTGTCACACGGAATTGTGCGAGTGTGCCATGACCAGCTGGACCGAATGGAAGTGCTCCGAGAGTGCCTGTAGCTCAACTGGTGTCACCTACGCCACCAGAGGCTACATGACTGGCCCACACTGCCAGAGCAAGGATGCGGAAACGTACCGAACCGACGGCGAGTGTAAGACGGAGGTATGCGTATGTGCACCCAGCGAGTGGACTCAGTGGACTCGCTCAGCCAACGAGGCTGTCTGTGGCTCTGTGTGTAAGAATGTCAGACAGCGTGCCTATAATGGCGAAGAGTGTGTACTACCCGAGGATATAATTGTTGATGACGACCGTGTAGAGGTACAGATAGGCACGAGCTGCCGCGCTACCGAGTGCTGCGGTACTTCTGAGTGGTCTGAGTTTGTGTGCAGTGTGAACACACACATGGATGGGTGTGGCGTTGAGGGCAAGCTTATCCGTGAACGAGCCTTCATCGAGACGGACACGTGCTCCACGGCCGGTGCGATGGTCGACCTGCGCAACACAGAGGATGAAGCATGCCACACGGACAAATGCGAGTGTCCTATGACACCCTGGAGTGACTATGCATGCTCGGCTACTGCGTGCAGTACTGACGGAGTGATGTATTCAACTCGAGGCTACATCTCTGGCCCCAATTGTCAGGCAATGGACGTAGAGACGCGCAGAGAGGATGGTCCTTGCAGCACAGAAGAGTGTGTATGCAAGCCCACCAACTGGAGCAAGTGGCAATGCGATGCTGATGTGAATAAGTGTGGCTCCCGCGGCAAGAACAAGCGCTACCGCCAGTACGTTGTGAGTGAATGTGAGCTGCCTGCAGACCTGGTAGTGAGCGAGACGGGTGTTGAGACACAGACCCATGAGGAAGACTGCTATGCTCCCGCGTGCTGTGATACCAGCGCATGGACCAACTGGGCGTGCTCTGTGAGCGAAGCACAGGGGTGCGGCTTGACTGGAGAGTATGTGCGCACCCGCGCCTTCGTTGAGGACGGCAAGTGCATCACCAGCGGCGCTGATACCGACCTCTTCAATACGAACAACGTAGCGTGCCACACGGACAAGTGTGAATGTCCCTTGACCAGTTGGAGTGAGTATGTCTGCTCAGAGACAGTGTGCAGCTCAGAGGGTGTCATGACATCGACCAGAGGCTATGTGAGCGGTCCTAACTGCCGCACAATGGGTGCAGAAATGGTGCGCACAGGCGAGGTGTGCAAGACAGATGTATGCGCCTGTGTGCCTTCCAAGTGGACCGAGAAAGTGTGCAACGCGGACATGGACATCTGTGGCTCGCAGGGTAACTACATACAGACCCGCAAGTTTGACACCACCGACTGTGACGTGCCTGAGGGTATCGTGACTGACGCCGATGGCACTGAGACACGCGTGGGTGAGGCGTGCCATGGACCTGTGTGCTGTGATGCGAGTCCGTGGAGTGGCTGGACGTGCACTGTTGGCGATGCTGATGGCTGTGGGCTCACGGGGCATTACATCCGAGAGCGTGCGTACTTGACCACAGACGAGTGCTCAATTGCCGGTGCTAACACTGTGCTGGTGAGCAACGGAGACGACGAGTGTTCGACTGAGCTGTGTGAGTGTGAGATGACGCAGTGGACCGAGTACACATGCACAGAAGAAGCGTGCTCGTCTCAGGGTGAATGGGTTGCTACCCGTGGCTATATCACCGCCAGTGACTGCCAGACGAAGGATGCTGAAACGCGACGTGTCGATGGGGTGTGCCAGACGGAGGTGTGTGAGTGCGAGCCCACGCACTGGAGTGAGTGGCAGTGTGATGTGGATGAGCACCAGTGCAACGCCATCGGCAACAACTGGCGTGAACGTCACTTCGCCATGAACGACGACTGTGTTGTGCCTGACACGGTGGCTGTGGACGCTGCGGGTGTGGAGAAGCAGATGAGTGCTACCCCCTGCAACGCTAAGCCGTGCTGCGCAACAAGCACTTGGAGTGACTGGGAATGCAGTGTGTCTACCGCCAACGATGGCTGCAACCGCGAGGGCCACTACGTTCGTGAGCGGACGTTTGTGGAGACGAGCAAGTGCACCACAGAAGGCTCCGACGCCACGCTGCGCAACACAGATAACGAAGCGTGCTTCACAGACACGTGCGAATGCCCGCTGACGCAGTGGACCGAGTGGACTTGTAGCGTGACTGCGTGCTCGTCGGAGGGTGTGCAGGTGAGCACACGAGGGTACATCACCGACGCCGACTGCGAGACACGTGATGCAGAGCTTCACCGCGAACAAGACTCGTGCACTACGCCTGTGTGTGCATGTAAGCCAAGTGCATGGAGCCCATGGGCTTGTGACGTGGACACTGAAACCTGTGGAAACACGGGTTTAAATACTCGGCGCCGCAAGTTTGATCTTGAAGGCTGTCAACTTCCAGTCGAGATCGTCACCAACGAACAAGGCATTGAGATGCAATCCGGTGCCTCGTGCGAGGGCCCTGTATGCTGCAGCACCAACCAATGGTCGACATGGAGCTGCTCCTTGAGTACTCAGAAGAACGGTTGTGGCCTCAGCGGACGTCTGGAACGTACACGAGATCACATACTTGTGGACAGCTGTGTGGCAGAAGGAGACGACACTGACCTGTACCACACCGACAACGAAGCGTGCCAAACCGATCTGTGCGAGTGTGAGCTTTCGGAATGGAGTGCGTACGAGTGCAGTGAAGAGGCTTGCTCGTCTGAGAGTGTGAGCTACTCCACACGTGCTTACCTTGTGGAGGACGATTGTCAGACCATGGACGCTGAGCTGTACCGTGAAGACGGCAAGTGCACGACTGTGCCATGTGTGTGCGAGCCTTCGTCCTGGACTAGCTGGGTTTGCGATGCCGATGAAGCAACGTGCGGTGCAACTGGCTCGACCTGGAGATACCGTACATATGATTTGGAGGCGTGCGAGATGTCTGAGGATGTTGTGAGCGATGCAGAGGGTATCGAGATACAGCAGGGAAGCAAGTGCCACGCTAAAGAGTGCTGCCCAGTGGGCCAGTGGACTGAGTGGGTGTGTAGCATGGATACCAACAAGGATGGCTGTGGAATGGAAGGCACACACATCCGAAGCCGAGACTACATCACAAGCAGTGCGTGCATGGTAAAGGGCGACAACATCTCGCTGGAAGAGTCTGACGGTTCGTGCTACACCGAACTGTGCGAGTGTGAGCTTACTGAGTGGTCTCAGCCTGTATGTGACACGACCGCCTGTTCCTCTGAAGGTGTGATGCGCTCCACACGTGGCTACATCACCAACGAGCACTGCCAGACGAAGGATGCAGCTTTGCACAAGGAGGTGGGCAGCTGCGAGACCGAGGCGTGTACGTGCGAGCCCGATACCTGGACGGAGTGGTTCTGTGATGCAGATATGAACACGTGTGGCTCCAGGGGTGTCACATGGCGTACGCGTACGTTTGATCTGACGCAGTGTGACTTGCCAGCGAGTGTGGATGCCGATGAGAGCGGCGTGGAGACGCAGACTGGCGGGTTGTGCTATGGGCCCAGGTGCTGTGAGATCACCTCATGGAGTGAGTGGACGTGTAGCATCACAGCGACGGACGGTTGCGGTCAGACCGGCCATGAGACCAGAACACGTGAGCACATCGAGGATGGCGAGTGCATGGTCCTCGAGAAAGCCACCTTGCAAACCAGTGATGGCGAAAGCTGCAGCAACGAGCTGTGTGAGTGCGTGTTGCAGGAATGGTCCAGTTGGGTGTGCTCAGAATCTGCCTGTGGCACGAGTGGCGTTCAAACCCGCACTCGCGCATACATTGCTGACGACGATTGTCACACCAATGATGAGGCTGTCCTGACCGATACGTCTGGCGGAGTGTGTGTCAATGAGGCGTGTGCGTGCATGCCTAGCTGGGCCGAGTGGACTGAGGTCTCGAGCTGTACCACAGACGAGGTGACAGGCACACAGTGTATGAATGTGGCTGACCAGAAGCCGGTGAACGCGCCCGTGAGTAACATCGTCTCCGGCGAGCAAGGTGCAGAGAACTCCAAGCCGTACTGTGTGGATATGTGCCAGCGCAAGGGTATACAGACCTGTGATGCAAACGGTATGGCTCCCACGAGCTTCACGCGTGCAGATGCTGACGAGGCAAGTACATGTGCGTACACGAATGAGATGTGCGAATGTCCCTGTGAGGAAGTCCCCGGAGGTAACAACACACCTATAATTGCCGGTGCGGCTGTGGGTGCGGCTGCTGTGCTTGCAGCAGCTGGCGCTGCCATGTGGTACAGCCGCGGTGGCAGTGAGGCTGTGGGTGCCATGGATAGTGCGGATATCTTGGGCCAGAACTTGCAGACCAACCCCGTTTACGAGGGAGATTTGGTTGAGATGACCAATGACATCTACGCCGATTACGTTTAGGGATAGGGTTAGGTAGCGTCTGTTCAAGACTCAATTTGTACTTAATAATCAATATTATAAAATATCAACAAAAAAAATACCCCCCTTGATGTGCTTGACGTTCTTGTCGTGACTCAGACCCCTTTACAAACTATGGTTGCAGATATCTGCTATTCAAGTGGGTTAGTTGCACGGATATGCTCGATATTTGCATCAGGTAAATGGCGAGAATTCGTGTGTGCATACAATTGCATATAACAAACGTGGACGTATGCTAAATGCGTAATGCAATTACTTCAATCACAGACACGTCCTATGAACATATATACACATTGCCTTGCCGCCTGAACAAACGTAGGTGTACGCGTGTACGCAAATAAGAGTTCAATGGCAGGTTTGTAAGTGATAACCTTTGTGTAGATATATATATCCAAATTGAAGTGATGTGAACCTAATATTTACACTGACACAGTATCATATATATATCTGGGCCCAGAATCCTGCTCTAGTCTTTCACTAACTTATAATAATACTACTATTAAAAGAATTGTTTCTCTAACTAGCTTCTATCTCACAATATAATAATAATAATAGAAAGAATAACAATAATAATAACGATAATATAATATAATACAATAGTAATAATAACAATAATAATAATAATAATAATAGTAGTAGTAATACTATATAATAGAATATTAATATAATATAGTAATATAATAATATAATATCGTAACATAATAATATAATAATATGTATATACAAGAATGTATATAGCTATATACTAATAGCATGAGGATGCCAGAAGGCTAGTATCATCAGTGCCTCCCCAGTGTCTGTTATGCTCGCGCGCAGACATGCGGATAGTGCATGTGCGATAGCTGCAAATTCTTATTACTTTCAATTTGACATTTATACTATCAAGGAACCAATACAAGCAAATGGCAAAAATGATATACAGTGCACACACACGCTAAAATCATCAAGTATTGGTCAAAGTATGTTTATGTACATGTTCATCGTCAAGAAGGCTCAATGAATTATTTATTATAGGAAAATCTCCGCATTGATCTCAACCAAGGAAGTGGGCATCTTCAGTTCGAAACTGCCCAGTACTTCGGGGTGTACTACTCCGAACTGGCCCACAACCTTGCCCTTGAATAGCACAGATCCACTGCGGCCAGCCAGGAACATAGGGTCTGTGTATTGAAGGGTTTCAGGGTTTTAGGGATTTAATATTGTAAATAGGATCTGTGTATTGAAGAGTTTCAGGGTTTTAGGGATTTTATATTGTAAATAGGATCTGTGTATTGAAGAGTTTCAGGGTTTTAGGGATTTTATATTGTAAATAGGATCTGTGTATTGAAGAGTTTTAGGGATTTAGAGA